GTATGCTGCGAGCAGAGGAGCGACGTGATCGCGGTTGAGCTGGCGAAGCATGACTGCTCCTGCGAGGACGGGGAGCATGACGGCGATGAGGAAGATGGACTTGACGCGGTATCGATGTGCGAGGTACGAGGCGGGGAAGATGACGAGGAGTTGTACAGCGCCGAAGGGAATGTTGAGAAGCGATGTAACGCCCTTGTCGAATCCGAAACCACCAACGATGATGGGACCAAAGGTGTTGGTGACAGCGGCAGTAACGTTGAGACACAAAGCCATGCTAATGAAGAGCCATGTCTTGGGTTCAATGAGGGCCTCGAAAGCCTGCTTCCAGATGAAGTTGCGACTTCCAGTGCCAGTCTGATTGGCACGAAGACGTTCAATGGTCTGTAGCTTCTCATGCTCGGTTAAGAAGCGTGCAGAAGGAATGTCGTTGTCAAGGACCAAGTAAACAACCGGCGCAGTAAGGACGGTGATGAGACCAGCGAAGAGGAAGAGGATGCGCCACGATGCAAGCGAGCCATTGATCTGGCCCAGACCAAAGGAAAGCGCAGCAGCAAACATATTCGCAAGACCATTAGTTCCATACCAACAAGCAACCCGCATCGGCTGCTCAGCGCGTCTGTACCACTGCGACGTAATGACCGAAAACAGCGGCAAGCACGCAGCCTCAAACAAACCCAGCAAGAAACGTGTCGCAAGAAGGCCCTGGTAGGTAGTACAAGCGGCCATGCACGTCTGCGCAGCACCCCAGCCAAACACGAGACTAGCCATAAAAATACGATGGGGGATCTTGACCATCAGCCATGAGGAGAATGGTAGCCAGACGAGCTGTGCGATGGGCGCCATGGAGGAGACCATTGAGTATTCATTTCCGCTGAGGTTGGTGTCTTCGCGCATGCCCCATACTGCGCCGTAGCCGAGGACGGATTTATCGAGGATCTGGAGGAAGTAGACCCAGACGAGGATGGAGAGGACGTGTTTGTCGGTCTTTCGGCGGAGGCGTTTATTCTAGATGAGAGTTAGATGGTTGAAGGAGGAGTAGAGGGAGCCAGGCAACGCACGTCTTCTTCGGTGACTTCAATGTGCTGAGCACCAATCATCTGAGCGACAGCATCGCCATTCTGAGGATGAAGATCCTGTTTGGTGATCTGAGACTCAACATCTTCAGCGTGTTGTTGAGAGGGAGAAACGTCACCCTTGAAAGTAGACATTATGTTGAACTCCGCTAATGGTGATGAGGGAGTGATGAATGGATGAGGGAACGCAGATCTCAAAGTGAGAAGAAACAATGGCCTTCTTATCCTTTAGCTATTTCACCGGTCGACGGGAAGACTGTTAGTGTCAATGACATAGAGTTTAGAGGCTTGTGTTCCCCCACGCGAGTAGAAGCGAGTCTGGGGAAGAGCGAGAATCTGGGGGAGCAGCGGGGTTTGTGACGAGCGGTGAAATTCCACATGGTAGATCGTTACTCTCCAAGAGCAGGGAAGGGCGAGTCATGGTCGAAACCTTGCTTGTTCGTGTGCGACGCTTAGCGGAATGGTTGAGGACCAAACGTCATTGTTGGCACGTGGGGGTTGACGATGCGGAGAAGATATGGGGAATGTGGCCGGAAGTGTACCGCGGTGTGGTTGACTGTCAACCTGAGTGAATGTGCACCGCGAGGAGATTTTCAGTGGGGGGAAGATCTAGGTTGTTTGCATCTGATCTGGTTCGGCAATTGGTTATGCATCGCGGAATTGTTGAGAATTGGATCTTGTTCGTATTGCAGCGTTGACAAAGGTTTCAACAGACAGAAGCAGCGTTGAATTACTGCCCTGTCGAGCACTGTCGCTTGCGCGGAATTAGGTAGTGCCCCTGCGCTAAAAACGCCCTGAAAACAGTCACAGCACCGCTATGATCATGCTCCTACGAGATAAACTTCCTGGCAATTGACCTTACCTATCGGCAATTGACCTCACCTATCGGCAATTGACCTCACCTATTGGCAATTAACCTTACCCATTGGCAATTGACCTCACCCATCGGCAATTGACGTGGGGTCTCGTTCAAAAGCCGCTCTCTTCATCTTCAGCTGCTATAGCCGTCTTCACCTTGTGATATTCTTCTCGTACGATCTAGACCGCGGTGTTATCTCAGATCTTTCACTGCTCGTCACTGCGACCATTCGGATCCGAGCGTGAGAGCTTTGACCCGCTTTTAGCCTGGTTGACTGTCGACCCGGCATGGAGCATGTCTAGATTTCACATGTACAGTAAAACCTCACGCTTCCAGCTCTAGCCATGGGAGATGCGCATAATTGCGGCTTATCAGAGATGGTTCTGTTTAGTTCAGGTTTAAGTGGCCTTGTCAATGTCTATCCCCTGCAGAGGCTGTAGGTAGTGAGACAGATCAATTGCATGTGAAAGCTTGAACAAGTATGTTACATTGGGGGCACTCAACATTTGATTGAGACATTTGATCGTTGATCTTGCAAGAAATCGAACGATCTAAAGACTTGAGGTGCAGCTGAAGATGGACCCCGTAGGTATGCGAGTTGTTGAGTGCGGTACACAGTCTACCCGAGAAAGTGTCGCCATCGACGACTACTATGGTGCATGAAACTTCTCATTGTTGGTTCATACACAGACTGTATCTTTGATTTTTCTGTAGAATGCGGCATTTTCGATATAAAAATGACCGGTGGCTGTCTAAGAGGACTCTACAGGGTATGTAAAGTGTTGTTATTGCTATCACTTCCTTGGTTACAACTCGTCGCAGATTGTTGAGGTTGGCCTTGGGTTATTGGTACAACATAAGGACGGCAATTATAATAGATTTATACTAAAAGTCTAGCGTTCAGGAACGCTATTCTATTAAAATGTTGTATGCGTCTCCATGATAAGTTGCCAGGTGGCATCCGATTTTAAGGTCCGAGCATCATGAGTATAAACTCAAGCAAATTCGATGAGACGATCGTTGTAACCAAAGCTGAAGTAATGAATCAGAATAATAGCTCACAAAACAATAAGTACATTTTTATCTTTGCTTTCTAGAGATTATCTTTAGTATTAAAGCGATGCATGTCTTTAACAGCATGAGAGTATCTAGCTGGTGGAGCCAAGTACAGGTTAGGGATAATCAACACATCAGCAAGAACAGAACAATCATGATTGGAGGACCGTTCCATTTCGTTCTACCTCGTTCAACACCTGACTCACATACAGCATGGCCTAGCAGGAATGTAGCATGTCAATCGGCTTACCCCCACGCTCCAGCGCCAGCAGCTTTGACGGCTCCGACCAAAATGTCAGCTAACCTCAAAATGACGACGGACCGACGGTACCTGCGCCCGCCTCAATCAACCCCCCACGTTCTGGTCAAGACTCACTGTGTCCCCCGTGTTTATTGCCCGACATGCAAATCTGCCTGGAATGCCATTGAAGGAGGATTACCCCAGAATATTCCCCGCAGATGATCATCGTTTAGACACGGATAGAATGCCGACAGCAGAGTCGGGCCGACGTGGGGGTCACACGAGATGACAAGTTAACTGACTTCATAATTTCTGGGCCAGATGTAAGAGTAGTTCGACGTCTAAATCTGGGGTGCAGTTCGTGGACTGTCATTCAACAAGGAACAATTGAAGTTCTAGGCTCCATATCGCAGACTTCATCACAGAGTGTTTTGAATCACTTGCAATCATGACGAGTATCTTGGAATCTATGTTTTCATTAAAGGGCCGTAAGGCTGTTGTCACTGGCGGAACGAGAGGCATCGGTCAGGCCATGGCCCTATCACTTGCAGAAGCTGGCGCAGATATAATCTTGGTGCAGGTAAGTCTCCTGTGCTGCTGACTTGCCAAGCTAACTGACACCATCAAGAGAGACGAAAGAAACATCGAGACAAAGACATTGATCGAAAAGCTTGGCCGACAAGCTTTCGTATACACCGCAGACCTCAGTAATCAAGAACAAGTCGAGAATCTCAGTAAACGCATCATCGCCGACGGTCACGACGTCAGCATCTTAATTACCTGCGCCGGAATCCAACGTCGACACCCAGCCCATCAATTCCCCATGAGCGACTGGGACGAAGTCCTCCAAGTCAACCTCCGCACAGTCTGGACATTATGCCGCGATCTAGGCTCATACATGCTGACCCGCAATCCGGACTCCAGCGGCCATCGCGGAAGCATCATCAACGTTGCGTCACTAGTCAGCTTCCAAGGCGGTCTTACAGTCCCGGCGTACGCAGCAGCAAAAGGTGGAATTGCGCAGCTTACCAAGGCGTTGAGTAACGAGTGGGCGAGTCAGGGTGTTAATGTGAATGCTGTTGCGCCAGGATATGTTGCTACGGACATGAATGAGGCGCTGATTAACGATGAGAAGAGGGCGGAGAGTATTTTGTCGAGAATTCCGGCGGGGAGATGGGGATGTCCTGGGGATTTCAAGGGTGTTACGGTGTTTTTGGCGGGGAGGGGGAGTTTGTATGTTTCTGGAGAGTTGGTTACTGTTGATGGTGGATGGATGGGACGTTAGCATGGTGAAGAGAAGACTTAACATGCACCGTGTTCTTCAAGGAGTTTATCAATCACTACATATCTACCAACATGCGTACCTCTCAATCCATATTTATGGAGTGACACCAAAAGCTCTGAGAAAAGACTCCCCGGTTCACCAGCATTCTTCTTCATGCTTCAAGAGTAGGGGCCTTTCTGTCGCTGACTCGGGAGAGAACAAAGTTTCTGGGCGCATGGAGCTCAGGCTAACGTGACCAGCTCGCAATGGTGGGAAAACAAGGCTCCCTCCGAGGCACAGCATGGAAATAAACCTTGCGTCATGCGGCTCGTTACCCCAGATTTACGTAGTTCTTTAGTTCGTGGGGGTACAGGGGGGGGGGGGGGGGGTTCAAACTAAATCCGACGATGTCGTGTTAGCCGGCGGGGAAGCCGAGTCATGGCCATTAAAAAGTCGGGGGAATTCGTGTCTGGTCAAGTATCACTCGTAAGAACAAGCATATCAACAATGGCCAAGATCACTTCTGTCAAGTATTACCGTGTCAAGCCGCGATGGCTGATGCTTAAGGTCGTTGATGAAAATGGACAGCATGGTTGGGGTGAGGCTACCTTGGAGGGCCATGATCTTGCTGTTGAGGGGTGTTTGGATGAGATGATCCCACGCATCATTGGACAAGAAGCAAAGTAAGCAATGCTATCCTAAAGGCACAGAACGAACGGCTTCTAACGGAGATGGTAGTGATATCGAAAACATCTGGCAAACGTTCTGGCGCCATGGTTTCTACCGTGGCGGACCAGTATTCATGTCTGCCATCTCAGGCATTGACATCGCATTATGGGATTTGAAAGGTGACTACAGACACCGCGCTATTAAGAAGTCTGAAGCTAACAAGAATAGGTCGAAACTTGAAGGTTCCGATCTACGAGCTTCTTGGTGGCAAGGTGCGGAACAAGGTCCAAGTGTACTGCTGGATTGGCGGTGACAGGCCCTCAGATATTGAAGCAGCCGCGTAAGAAGCGACCAAAACGTCCAGTTCCTAGCAAATGCTAACAGCCCGCAGAAAGAAGCGCCTTGAGCAGGGCCTCACATGCGTCAAAATGAACGCCACCGAAGACCTAGGCTGGATCGACTCCCCATCCGCGCTCGACAGCACCGTCGAGCGTCTCAAACAGGTCAAGGCATTAGGTCTAGACGCAGGTCTTGACTTTCACGGAAGGTGTCATAAAGCAATGGCGAAGCAACTCGCACGAGCTCTTGAACCTCACAGACCGCTGTTCATCGAAGAGCCTATTCTTGTCGAACATCCTGAGGCTATCAAGAAGCTCTCTGACCAGACTGTCATCCCTATTGCATTCGGCGAGCGCTTGTATACGCGTTGGGATATTAAGCGCTTCCTGGAAGACTCGAGTGTCGACATTCTACAACCTGACATCGCTCACGCGGGCGGTATTTCTGAGACGAAGCGTATAGCTACTATGGCGGAAGCTTACGATGTCGCGATTGCGCCTCATTGTCCGCTTGGACCTGTTGCGTTCGCCGCTTCAGTTCAAGTAGCGCTGTCATCACCGAACTTTGCCATTTTGGAAATGAGTTTGGGGATGCATTATAATACTGAGGCTGGAGACATCGATCTCTTGACGTATCTCAACGATCCTAGTGTTTTTGATCTTGAAGGTGGACATGTTAAGGCCCCGACGGGGCATGGGTTGGGAATTGAGATTGATGAGGAGATGGTGGCTAGAATTGCGAAAGAAACAGAGCCATGGCAGTGTAAGACATTCCATGGTCCGGATGGCAGTATTAGAGAGTGGTAATGCAATAGTGCACACAGCAGTTCAAACCGTCATTTTAATCTGAAGGTCTTGTTCGAGCCTGTGATCAATTATTTCGGCCGTAACATGCCATCGCTATCCAAACTCTCGTGCCACTCTCGCTCAAACTCTGACATCCCACGAGGGCACAAATCTGGGGTAGGCAGGCAATGTCCGGGACATGCTCGGCATTTCAGGTCGGGATGCTGAACCCCCACGCTCTTGGCGATGGAGTCCCCGGAGTGAGGGGTCAAACTTAAACGGAAAAGCATTCGCGAGCTTGGTGAGATTTCCTTGTATTTACATCTTTGGACCTGCTTTCTTGTACTACCCCGCGTTTAGAACGTACGTACCGCGAAGATGGGTGACAAACCATTGGAAGTATTGGTCTATGGCCTTGGAGCGTACGTTCACTTGGACTGTGATCAGATCATGACTGACATTTTCGAGGATCGGGTCTTTCTACGCCTTCGTTCTGAGCCGTAGCGAACATGTTCACCTAACCGTCGTCGCCCGATCGAACTTTGAAGCCGTTTCTGCGAATGGTATCTCAATCGACAGCCAGAACCACGGAAAACACCACGTGAAGCCTCACAAGGGTATGTGTCGCCCAACATCCTCATGAATTTGCTCTCATCCTAGCCATAGTTCTTCGAACCGTCGCCGAGGCTGGCCAAAAGTTTGACTTCATCATCTGCACGAACAAAGCAGTCGATCAAGCCAGCACTGCTGCCGACATTGCCCCCGGTGTTGGTGATAACACGTCAATCGTCATCATCCAGAACGGAGTTGGCAATGAGGACGCTTTCCGTGAAAAGTTCCCGAGTGCAACCATCATCTCATGCGTGGTATGTGTATCTCTCTGACCTGTCATTTCGCTACTAATGACTGTAGACATGGGTTGGTGCAAGGCAGCCAGAGCCTGGTTTCATCAATCATACGACATCCGAGGATATGCAAGTTGGGTTGTATCCGAACAAATCGGGCGATGCATCAAGGGATACCCAACGCCTCGCTCAGTTTGAATCGCTTTTGTCGATTGGCAAAACCATCTTCCAAATTGTACCCAACATCCAAGTGCAACGATGGGAGAAGGTCGTTTGGAACGCAGCGTGGAATTCACTCACTGCTCTTACGCTTATGGACACGCATGCATGGCTCAGCTCATCCGACCTGTCAACTCCCATGACAAGAAAGCTAATGAAGGAGGTTATCGATGTTGCTAATGCGCTTGGTGTTCCTTTGGAATATGAACTGATCGATAGGCTTCTAGAGAAGATCTTGGCGATGCCGCCTATTGGAAGCAGTATGAGGACGGATTATGAGAATGGCAAACCGATGGAGGTTGAGGTCATTTTGGGGTATCCTGTCAGGAAGGGGAAAGAGTTTGGTATTGATGTTGCGACGATTGAGACTCTGTATACCATCTTGTTGGCCATCAACAAGCGGCTTATAAGCGCCCAGGGCAAGTAAGGTAGTCTTATACTAGATCATCAGTTGAGGCAATAGAGTGACGATCAAGTCTCGCAATCTTGAGAGTTTGCAGGATAGGCGCCGGGCACTCGTGATGCAGCTCCCTTACATGCCTTTGCACCGCCATATCACGACATGCTCAGCTCATCGGCAAACCACGGCAAATGCTTAAATCCGCACTGCAACCCCATTTCCCCTCAGATCGTGGGATGTTCTTTTAGTGCCGATTGATGACTCGAGAGAATTCCCCTTTGGGCCAACTCGCACCGTATCCATGTCGTCGGGCTCCATCTGGAAACCCCCACGTTCTTCTCCTCTCGGGCTTGACTCCGAACCGACAAGTTGGCGGGGTCGCGTGGTCCTTTCTAGTGGCGGAATGGCTGATGACCTCCATTTAATGGAAATCTCCGCCGAGTCAGTGCCTTTGGTTACTTCTCTCTCTTTGTGCTACCGTTCTCTTTGTCGTCAAAATGTCAGACTGCAGTGCTCGTCGATCATCAAAAATGTCCCATCCTAATGATCTTCATCGCTCCACTCAATCAGCCTCAGCACCACCTGGAGATGCAGCGCAATTACCGCAAGGCCAATGTCGTTATATCCTCACGATACCGGAACTAAAAGGCCATCGCTGCGGATGCATGGGCTTTCACCACAACACATCCCTCCCTGGCGCGACATGTTACTGCGGCCATTTCTCATGCTTCCATTCATCAACATCTCTAAAAACAAGTGAGGACATTACAGCGCTCAAAAAACGGGTCCGAGAACTCGAAGCACAACTTCAGCAAAAAGGGAGCTACCAACTGGAGAATCTCGTCGGTCGCATTAGTGATTTGGAGGAGACCGTGGAAGGGAATCAAGAGGAGGCGGCAAATCAGCTAAAAGCTTCGTATCAGAATAGCTCGTCTGCTTGGCAGGTGATAGAAGCACTGCAGGAGCGTATCAAAAGTTTGGAGAATTATTGTCAATTATACTGTGAGCAGATGATTGCGACTAGGAAAGAAGTGAAGGAACTGTATAATCGACAATTGGAGATGATGGATGGCGAGGAGAGTTTGGAAGAGAGGATAAAGACATTGGAAGATCCGGGGAACTTACTACCGCTGCTCCAGACGGGGCAGATCGGTTCGGTGACTATGGACACAAGGTAGATATCGACTATGTAGCATGGATAGAGGTAGGGGAGGTCCACAAGCGGTCAATCCATAGGGCAACAATAATATTAATTTCTACCATTACGCAAAGCATTAAGGTATAATTCTAGGCAAGCTTACTATCAGCTACGCAGGACTCTGTTTTACGTCACTCTTGGACTAAATGAGATGACAGTCTCAATCGTATGTCTTCTTGAAGAAATCGTATAGAAGTGCAACTATTGGGTCGCCCCCTAATCCTGATAGCACTGAAGCCAATGTTGTGATCCAATAGTTGCTCTCGGAAGCTACTTAGTCCCTACTAATCCCAGAGATACTACTCCAAGAAATCATCTGTCATTATCCATCACATCAGCTCTTCTCTGGGCATATACTAATTCTGATTCTACCCAATAACCTCTTTGCCATATTTACCTACCCCCCATATGTCTGCAAAGGTGCAGCTGTCCAGTGGTGCCGCGAATTCTCCTGATGTTGAGTTGAGGGGCCTAGTGGCGTAGTCATGCCTGAAGTATTAGCTGGTAAGTGTTGAAGATACCTATGTACCTGGAAGGACTAACATCTTATTATGAGGTACGGTTACAGGTCTGAAAGGATGGAGCTTGCTTCTGGGTTGTAGTGGTTAATGTTTCTTTGAGTTGTCACGCCTTGCAGCGACAAACGGCGCACAAGAGCAGCTTTTATACTTATCATCAAGGCCACGTCATGCAGGGTGCCACTAAATATACGCTGTCCTCTAAATGTACCTTATCCTGGGTCTGGAATCCGTGTGCATGTGCGAAGGCATGCACGCATTAGTTCCACCACGCACGTCCGCAAGGACATCCTGACCTGCTAATGAGGAACTCAATAGCCAAAATTGGTAAAATTGAGGCCCTCCAAGTGAGAGTTATGGTGGCCAGCGCTGGTGGGAGTGAATGTTCAGTGTGCCAGAGGGGACGGAGCGGGTAGAGGTTTGACAGGTCCACCTCTCGAGAAGTGTAGGTTGCATTTCCCACTTCTGTTCCGGCACAACATTGTCTATTCGACTTTATTGGCTATCTAAATCAGCTTGAGGCACACAAAACTCGTCAGCTGGCCAAGTTACCAACTGATAATTGGCTATCCAATATCAGTGCGCCAATGAGGCTCTGCTACCCAAAGCCCAGTTTCTTTACCTCCCCGCATTCTGGGGGCGATGCATCTTTGTCTTTGTCTTGCACCATCTCGACAATTACATCAGTCAAACAACAGCTGGTCCCTTGACGTGCTCTGATACCCTCGACTTCACACCAGCACACGGAATCTTAGAATTAGACGACTAAAGGTCGGTCACTTGAAGACACACACCATAAACTACTGTGGAACTTCCCTAAAGCCCTTCTCCGCACATGAGGTCTGGAAATCCGGCGAAGGTGGTGACTCAGACTTGCTCGTTTTCTCGCACATAAGCATTGTTACAGTGTAAAATGGCAAAATCTACCTCGGACTACCCCCTATAAGGGAATGTAATACAAGACCCTGATGCTGACAGGCTGTCATCCTAGGCGAGGCAAATGCCTCCGCCTAGCTTGACCCCACGGTCTTCTTCTTGCTGTGTCTCTTCTTACTATGCCTCTTCTTCTTGAAGCTATCTACAGTACCAAAAGAGGGAAATTTTCTCTAATAGAGGAGGTTTTCTTTGATCTTCATAGAGGGGATTTTATAACTACCCTTCGGGGGGGCCTGCAGCCGGCTTTTGCCTTTAGCGACCCTTCAGGGACCCTGCCAGGGGCGTCCTCAAGCAGAGGGCAACCCAATCTGTCGCCTACAGCTCCAGAAGGACCTTTTTCCGACTAACTAACTAACTAACTAACTAACTAACTAACTAACTAACTGACTGACTGACTGACTGACTGACTGACTGACTGACTGACTGACTAATTGGTACTTTAACCTTTTCCCTCTTACCTCTAATCTTGCAATAGCTTTACTTTTAGGAAAGACCCTATGGGCCTCTAACGGACTAATAGCCGGTCTGATCGACTAAATCTAACTAATAGCTAAAAAGCAGATTCCTTAGTAAACTCTATTGCCCTTACTTTAAAGAGGTAAAGCCAAAAGGTCCCCTTCTTACTACATTTAAAGTCACTCTTTAGGTTAGCTTTGCCTAATAATTTTAATAGTATTTATTTATACTATATATTACTTTTTTAATAATTATATTTAAAAAATTAAGCTTTTATATTAAAGTCTATTTACTTA